TTTTGTATTTTATTATTATTATTATATAGTTAATTTTATTTATTATTCATTTTTCTTAACATTAAATATTGTTAACGTAAAATAAAAATTGCAAAAATTTTATTTTAGTAATGATCATCATTTTACACAAAATAAAATAAGCCAATCACAGAGAAAGCCCGCTATGTTGTGTCCACTATGCTGTAAATCATTATGCAAATGCATAAATCTGGTGTCTCTACCTGATCCGTTTATAAGCAATTTCAACAGATTTAATTTCGATGGAAGTCATATTTTATCAAAGCAAATAAATTATTTGGAGGTGACTTACTGACCTCTCTGCTGCCATTTTAATTGTGGCAGGATATATCTATCTAATGGCAGTGGCAACAATGGTGACTTTCTGATTAGCTATAGAGAGGATTTGGATCTTCCTGGTTTAGTATAACAAGATTTAAAAAAAAAGATATTAATAAAATCAAATATTCACTATGCCTAAATTTTGTTTTAAATTATTTAATTGATGTAAAATTTTATACAGTATTTCCAATTTTATTTTACAAGTGTAAATTTATATAAAAATAAAAACAAAAATCATTCTTTAACAACAATGATTGTTAATTTTTAAAATTTCAACAAAAAGGGCACCCTTCTGTTAATTTATATTTGGCATCATAACACGGAACTATATTTATATGCGCACAATCAGGATATTTTATACGTGTTTCAGTTCTGCAAAGTTGTGTACACCATGGTGAAGAACAAGACTCTTTACACTGATATTTTTAATATAATATAAATTTATTAATGACTTATTAGGGAGAAAAAAGAGAAATTTATTAATACTAATAAAAAATAACTAACCCGATGACCACATGACAATTTCTTTTCACATATTTCACTACATTCGTATTTACTCAAGTCTTGGCCAATATGACATTTAACTTCTTTTTGATGACCACATCGAGGATTTATAACTATTTTAGTTTCACACTTGCCACAAGTATCTTTACATTCTTTATCACATGGATGACCACAAGGAAATATACGAATACATTTTTCCTATTATATTGTGTGCACATATATATATATATATATTAAAAAATATTTTGATATCAAAGTATAAAAATATTCATGTTTGTTTAATTTAAAATAGTTACATACTCGACATTTAAATTTATCATGAGAATAAGTATGACAATCCTTAGGACATAACTATCAAAAAATAGAATATATATTAATTACTTCATTGCAATTATGATTATTACTATTATTATGAATATTTTGTATTAAACTTACATGTCCACATTCCATGAACTCACCACACTTTTGTTTACAGCCTCCTTCTGATGGTATACTAGCCTCCCACTCAACATTAATTACCACCATTCCTGATGGACCAAGTTCTGGTTTTGAATGTTTCTGGCAATATAAATCAATTGATTGATCACATAACCCCTTTTTTTCAAGTATCTTTATTATATCTTTCCATAAATTAGAGTTCGTTGATAATTGTGTTGCATTTCCAAATATGTACATTCCACGTTTTGCTCTAGAGAGTGCAACACAAACTAATGTAATCAAAAATTTAAATAAATATATAATTGATAGCTGTTGTTTTATAAGGTTTTGATTTAAAAAGTTTATCAACTAACCTCTATTGCTGACACTTAAGAAACCTATATTACTTTTTGGTTCACGACTTCTTACAAGTGACAAAATTATCACATCATTCTCTTCACCTTGGAAACCATCTACTGAGCTGACCCTTATACTTTTTATTTCATTTGAAAAGTATGTCATTTTTGCATTTGCATTCAAGTACTGTTGTATCAATTTTCTTTGACCAGAATACATACTTAAAATAGTTCTGTTTTTTTTTTAATAAAGTATGTTAAAAAGGATTGTTAAAATGATTGATAATTGCTAATAAAAATAATAACCAAAGTTGTATGAATCTAACTACATTTTTGAACAATCAAATCCTCCATTAACAAGATAAACAGCAAGCTTAGCACTCATTTTAGCTTCAAACTCATTGATCCTACTTTTAGATTCTTTTACCATAGATTCCTCCTCTTGATGATCAAAAAAGAAGAGGTCCTCAAAAAAACCTGGTACATTATGGTATTCCGATACAGATGGATGGTCCTTTAGAACATCTCCATAAATAGGAGTCAAAAGTTCTCTAATTTCAGGTCTCATTCTACGTTGTTGGGTAAGTTTTGTAAAAGGTAATTCATTTTCTATTAGTCGTTCAAATAGAGAAACATTGAGACACTAAATGTAACAAAAAAAAAAAGATAATAATAATCAATATATTATTTAGATTTATCAAAATCAAAATTAATAAACAGGTAAAATACAAACGTGATCTTCTGCAAGTTCATGGACAGCTGTATTTGGTCTAAGCTGCTTATGATCACTAAATTTAAATAAATATAATTATGTGGTGTATGTATTTTTAAGAATAAATTTAAAAAAATTAAAAACCCTTAAATAATATTTAATACACACCCAATTAAAATTAAATGTTCAGTTGCTGGTGTAAGTGCACTGATTATATGTGCTTCAAGTGTTTCGGCAGCTTCTTCAATAATAATAATTTTAGGTTTCAAATTAACGAGTAAATCATGGTATTTAGCCTTTAAAAATAATCAAAAATATGATTTTTAATCATAATATATATGTGTGTGTGTGTGTGTGTGAATAATAATAAAAATATACCGCAGCTGTGGTTGTCATACCAACAACTCTAGCACGTTTTAGGATTAGTAAATCTTCACGAATTCTCTCATTTTTAATTTTTTCTGAAATTTCAAGATATTCATTGCTCTTTTGTTTAAGTTCTACTATCACTTCCTTCAAACGTTCACTTCTCCAACGATTATGCATAGCAGCTCGAACATGAGCTGGGATTGCAAATAGATCATCAACAGATGAATATCTTTCCAATTCAGCATCACTCACTTGAGTGTTAGAACTAACATAACTTTCACTTCTCAAGTTAACATATTTGCCATTTATTGTTTGATTACCATCGATACCTCGAAAATCTGCTTCAATATCTTTATAAGTCTCTTCATCTATCTCATCTTCTTCTTCATCAATTTTTTGTTGGCCTTCTTGAATTATCTGAGACACTTGAAAAGAAGCATCATTATGAGCTGCATGATGTGTAACTAAGGAGCTTTCTAACCATTCACGAAGATAATCACGATCATTATCATTTGTTGTCGAACTACTAGTCACCCAATCATCTCCCTCTAAACTAGAAATTTGTGCCGGAGTAAGAAATTTCTTTTCTTTAACAAATTCCAAGGTAAGACATGGGCTGCCTATTTCCTTGCATAATTTTTCCATCCTAGATTCTAACTTGTGTTTTTCTTTAAATAATGCATTTATATCTGGATTTCTGGGTGACAATTCATCTGAAGCTTTAACATCTTGTCTAATATTGTATAAAGTACATGGTTTTATGTGTGTAGATGTAGATCTTGATCCTAAACGAACTATCTTAGACTCAAATTTCTGAATACCTATTTTTATGAAAGTATTAAATAATTAATTAAAACGTAAATATAAATAAATACTTGTATTAACTGTGAACAAAACAATTGATCAACCAAATATATTCACCTTCAAGGAATTGATCCAATGCATGATTTGTTTGACAAGAAACAACTATGGTTCCAGATAAATTTTCCAACAGAATCCTTACTGCAGCCAAACCAACATATGTCTTGCCTGTACCAGGCGGTCCTTGAACCAAAGCTAATCTAGAAGTAAGCATCCGTTCTAATGCTTCATATTGAGACTTGTGTAGCCCACAATTTATTTTTTCTAAAGGAGGCCAAGATTCTAAAATATTAAACTAAAAGTAAACGAATGAATATAAATATAAATGTATTAATTTATAACAATAATAATTATAATAATATAAATTTACACTTGATTTTCCTAAGAACTTTTCAAGATTTTGGAATGTTGGTTCAGTTCCAAAATCATAATTTGGAGGAGCGCGATTTTCAAGGTATTTTGGAAGCTCAATATTCTTATCAAGGTCAATGATGTGTGATTTCAAAGGCATATCTTCTGGATCAAGCTCTTGAATTACCTTTAAGACATGCCTATATGCTACAAACAATTTTTTGAAATTAATCGATATGTTTGTAAAATTAAGATTTTTTCAAGTATAAATCTTACCTTCAAAATATGAAGTTGTCGATTCAACCTAACCATAATACAATCAATATAAAGAAATAATAAAAAATAGTATTTAATAATTAATTATTTAATTTAATTTAATTTAATTTAATTTGAAATATAATGATGTCATTAAAAAAAGGAACCATTGTATAATTCTCATCCCAAACGAAATCAACATCTTCTGATCTGAAGAGCACATCAATTTGTAAATCATGAGGCTTTTTTAAATATTCCAGAGACCTGTTAACAACAGTTGCAAGTTTTATTGTCTTAAATTTATCTTTGGTCAAAACAACCAGTGTTCCAGGAATTAATCTTTTGCTCTGCTCCCTAAATTAAATATTTTATATAAATTTTAAATGAGGTAATTCTGTTATAAAGAAACAAAATATATGTGATAAAATCCCAATGTCAAAGAGAACCACATGTTAATTATATATATTCTGTATTATGACAATCATTGTAACATAATATATTTTCGTACAAAATGGTAGGTATACATATATATACACATATATATAATAGAAAATTTTACGAAAAAGAATAACAAACATACCAATGAATTCTTTCACCAGGTCTAGTTCTAAAAGAAATTCGATGTAAAACACCGATACTAGAAAAGGTCACACCAACAAGATTTACCTATTTAAATATAATAATATAAGTAAGAGAAGTAGAAGTAGGAGAAGAAGTAAAGGTTGAAGAAGAAAAGAATAGTTGAACTTATTAAAATATAAATCCACATAAATTTTTAACATACATCAACATAAATTCGTAAATTCATTTGATCAACTTCTTCATCATTCTCATCATCTATATAAATTTGAATACCCTGTCTTAAAGGTCTAAGAAAATCTTCTCTTAATAATTTATAATGAGTTTCCAGATATTCTTCAATGTTTTCATAGGAACCTTTGGTTTTATTAACAGGAATATATTTTGGTCTAGGACCCAATAGTTCCTTTTGCGTTGGAAGTATGGATATTGCACGAAAACCTTCTTTTGGTGGTTTATTAATCTCAAGAAGTTCAGGTAAAACGGGTCCTCTGATTCTTCTGTCTACTACATTTCTTTTATATTGACCTCTTGAATCTTTTTCTGACAAACTTTTTTCAACTGGATCCTGATATATTGAAGAAAATTCATTTTGAGCTGATCTATTATTTAATCTTTGATTAGAATCAACACCCCTTTTGTAATTTGTTTGCTTTGGTGATTGAGAAACTGTTGTAGAATTTGGCATTACGTGTCGATATCGACAATTATCACCAAATTGACAACTTCCAGGATTTCCTTTAAATCCTCTGCAAGTTTTATCTTTATCTTGAGATTGTGAATTAAAAAATGCCAAAAGATACAAGAGAAAAACTTAGAAGAAAAAAATCTAGTAATGCAACGGAAGCAGTAGCTGGGTAAGTGTTTTAAGGATGGTGGTGGTGGTTATCGCCCGCCACTTGTCATCCTCTAGTTACAATTTGCAACTTGTCACCATTCTAATTAATAATAATAAATAAATTGCAGGAATAATCCGAAATTTGGTAGAGAGGTAATTGTAAGTATTTTGTTGTTTATAAATTGGCTTTAAACTAACTAATTTAAATTTATAGGGGAAAAAATTATATGATGATCTGTTAAAAATACACAATCAAGCTGCAAAGGGGTAATATTATTAATAATGATCAAAATTTTAACTATAAAGTTCCAAAATTATAACAATTGTATTTAAAACTTAGTGATCTGATAAAATATGGTATTGTTGACTTTGGAAGCTCTAACACAAACATCCAAAAGATGAAGGATAAATTTAAAAAATTTGAAAAGAAATTCAATGTTTATAATTATGTTTTCAGTGATCAGCATATTAAAGAAATGTTGGAAGATATCAAAAATTTTAAAGAAAAAAAGGATGTTCAAGATTTTCTAAATAATTATAACAAGTTTGAAAATTTTGAAAGCAATGACATAACAGAACGAATGAGTCATTTTATATTAATAGTAATCAAAACATAGTAAGATTTAAATGCTTTTTTTTAGAAAAATGGTTTCAACATTCATTATAATGATCTATTTTTGGAATTTCAGCTGGAATTTATTTGCAAGAAATGAAGCTTACTTCACCGAGTTATATTCTGAGGAGCATATCCGTTCTATCTTATATACACCAATGTTTGATGCTTTATTCTTCAATAAAGAGTATCTTTATTATATAAACAGGTACATATATAATTTTTTTTTCATTAAACTGCAAAAACATGAATTTTTAAAAAATAATTTTGATTAAATAGTTCAAGTGATGCAAATAGTGAAAGGCGTAACAAAGATAAAGAGAATGTGTCAGAACGTACACGAAATCCCCTTATTCCAGATATCAAAGTAAACTATGCTATTTATGAAGCTGAAGTTGTTACATTTGAGCAAGCAAAAACTGCTGCTCGGAAAAAGGGTCTCAATAAAGCAATCAATGATTCAAATAAATTATCTATACTATTACATGATCAAATTACTCATTTTCATTCTATCCTGGAAAAAAGATCTTTGAAAAATTATATTAATTTGATAAATGTATTTGGTATCCGCATTTCTGGTAGATATTAAAGCTTAATATAAATTATTTATTAAGTTATTTACTGTATTTATTCTAAGTATAACTTATTCATATAAAATTAAACAGAATTAGATCTGGATATCCACATCATGTATTTAGCTGCTCCTGAACTTTACCTGAAACACAAACTCTTTTCAATAAATCTTCCTAAACGACTTTCTGGTTTTTGCTCCATAAGAACTTGTTTAATTGACTTAATTAGATTTAGGGTAAATATTTGCAATATATATATGTAAAGTATTATTGATTATTATCATTTGCAAATTCTAATCAAATAATATAATATATTTTTAGTTGATTTTAGATGAATCTTATGATTCATTTAAAGGAATTATAAGGCTTGATTCATTAGATTCTAGACTTGCAAATCCTGACACCTCATGGATCGTCAACATTAAAGAATAGTTATTATTATTGGTCACAATTAAATGATATTGGATAATAGATTTTAGAACAATTATTTGGCAAAGAAAAATAGCAAGAATATAATAATTAAATAATTTGAGAATATTGCGCATCATTAATTGATTAATTAAAGCTAAAATAGTAATATGTTGTTAAATTAATATATTAATATGTTAACTCCAAATTTAAAATTATGTATGACTCATGTTATAAGGACAGCTCATTATAGTGACAATCTTGGTATAATGACATTTTTTGCTTGCCCTAGGAGTAACTTGTATAGCATAAAAAAAAATTATTACATTAGTGATGAATGATGATTAAGATTTTTCTTGAACCAACCAATGTTCGTTTTGTTGCAATATGCCCCAATTATATAAAAATAATAATATAATTAACACAAAACAACAATTCTCCTCAATAATTTTTTTAGAAACAACAATAATTCTCTTTTATTTATTAAGATAATAATTTTCATGATTTTTATCTTATCCATTTTAATAATTTAAATCTAGACATAATTATTTTTCATGGAACTGGTTAAGGATTTTTATTTTCATATACTTGAATATTTATTTGCAGATCCATTCAAATTTAATTCTTTGCTTGTCACCACAGGACCAATTTTAGAATCTCTTCAATTTTAAAAATAAACTAGTGATATTGATTCTAGTAACTTCGTCACACTGTGTACTGATACACCAATATTTATAGTAAGTAAATAAATTTTTTCCTAATTTTCTAGGTTCTGTGTTAATATTCTTTTATTAATTATAACTTTTCTTTTTCTCTCTTGGCAAATTTCATAAGTGATCTTTTTTTGTCTAAATATGTTTGCAAGGATTTAGTATCTGCTAATTTAAAAATATAAGGAGCAATCTTTTCTCTTGTTCTTCAAAATACTTCTGATGGTACTATAATTCTTTGGTTCCATAGTAGACCTAATGTAAATGAGTTTCATATTAACTATTTTTGTCTAGACAAATATCATGATCACATTACATTGTAATACATTGTGATATTAAACAAACACTATTGATCCCTGAAATCCTTGGTAATACCAATGTTCACTTTGTCTGGTTTTGTTGCAGCATGCCCCATATAACAAATCTTAAAAATAAGTTTGAGTAATGTTCTACTTACATAGACTCTTTTCGCAATGTTTTCCAATACAGCCATAAAATAAGTTTTCAAAATGAGAAAAGAGAAGAACCCAGCATCAATCAAGGCTGACACATTCTCACGGATTGATGCTATATTGACTATGAATTTATTTTCTCCAAAATTATATCCCTGCAGAAAAACATTTGTAAGATCAAGACATTCAACATCTGGATTAAAGATGTTATCCGAAATGGTTTTTGAAAAAATCAATTTTGGCAGGCAATTTCGGATTTACAATATTTTCATAATGATTGACATAAAAAAACTATCCAGTCTGAGGGGCCGATTTCCTAGTCCAATTCCCATATATATAGTAATAGAAAATAATTTGAAAGGACATGTCACACGACTGCTAATACTAATACAGTAATAGTCGTGTGACATGTCCTGCAGAAGTTTATTTTCCGAAAAATTTCTGGGTTAATACTCCATGGGTTGCTCCGGGTTACTCCAGATTACTCCATGATATTCCGGGTTGCTTCATGAAGTAATAATAATAATTTCTTGTTTATCATTATATTCTTTTGAAAAAAATTCCCAAACCCAAGAGTTTCACGTAAAGTGTTTGATAAATTAGATTCATTTTCTTGTATAGAATTAGTAACTGTACTTGTGGTAGCTGTACTTGTGTTAGTTATAGTTGTAGTAGTAGTAATTAAACTTTCATTATCTTCTTGACTAAAAATCAAATTAATCTCACTTTCTTCTCTATTTATATTATATAATGATTCATCTGATGGTTTAGGCTCACTATCTGAAAGCATTTCGTATAAATTTTCAGTTTTTTATTCATAATAAAAATTCGCGAACAAAGAAATCAAAATTAACAAATTATAATCAAATTACTAAAATAATTTAGAGCAACCTAGAGCAAAATTATATAGTAACTCGGGTTATAATAAAATATTTTGCTCCAGGTTAGTACAAAAAATTAGAAATTTTACCCACTCCATGATTGAGTGATACAACCCTACAAGTTTGAAATTATGGTGTGTAACCATTACTATATAAATAATTTTAAAATGAATTCATCATATTGTAAAATAACGTTTTAAATAGACAAAAAACTTTGTTAAATTAAGAGATAACGTTTATACCCATGAAGTTTCATTAAAAACGACTTGATTTATATAATAATTTTCTTTTTTATTTTTTTTTTGTTATTATAATTAGATATGTATGTAATAAAGAGAGGAGTATAGTTAATTACAATCTCATCTAGATAACTTCAATACGCATAAAGTTTTTATTAGTAAGGAGTTTTTTCCAAATTTATAATAATGCATTAATATTTTTTATTAATTAAATACAACTTGCATCTTTCTATAATTGTATAACAGAATAATAATAAAATTATTACTATTTACTGTCAATAATAGATTTTCTATATAACAGACATTTTCTAATACTAATACTAGTACTAACATGGTCCATTATAGTGGAGAGTGAACTTGTATTTATTACAGGTAAACTATACCAGTTTTTTATTTATTTTTTTTTTTTAAGTTATATACATGTTCTTTATATTATATTCATCATCTACCTTCATTAGCTTCATTATCGAATGATTTGTATCCACCGAATGATATTCACCGGTTAATCGGGTGTTTGAAAGTTAATTGGTGAATAATTTGTGGTACAGAACATAAAAATGAATGAAATTTTTTTTTAATACATATAAATACTATTTTGTTCACTATTACACCAACGTTCTTTCTATTATAACAATGTAATATATCAAGTAATATAATAATACCCAACTGTGTCATTATTAGCTAAAAACATTTATGCGTTGTAGCAACTTCTACTCCAAGTGAGCGTCTATTTAGTAAAGCTGGAACACAATGACAGCCAAACGAACAGAATTGAATCCATTGTTATTTGAAAGGATTGTATTTCTTAAAAAATATATCCAATGTATTGAAAATATTTTTCTTGATGAATAAATAATTGTTATATTTTTTGTATTAAATTTATTGTTATGAATATTCAATGGATATTCGGCGGATATTCAGTGAATGCCACTGTCATTTATCTTCCGGCCCAACTATGTTGTCAGATTTTTCTAATTGTGATACAAAAAGAGTAACATTTTTAAAGGTACCTTTTTTTGTAAGATTCCATACAATGTATAAAATTTTTTCCAAATTTTTGCAGCATGATAATGATAACTATGGGCACAAATTAATACATATCCATCAGTATCTGGAAAGTTTGGATCAAATACTTTGTCAGAATGATCGCATAAAACTTTTTTTTTTTGATGGATGTGTTGTATGGAAACCAGCAGGCAATAATTTTAAATCAACTTTTACACCTAGTTTTTTTTTTTACATTGATGTATTGCCGTAAAACTTGGTCAATTTGATCAGTTTAGTTTTGGTAGGTTATATTTGAAGCAAAAGTTTAAGGTTCTCATGATCTATTTAGACATGTTAACTCTATTTTTTTTACTTTTTTGTAGATAATTTTATTGTTGTTGTTTTCCCATTTTCATAATTAAGTAATAAATTATCATCATCGTTATTAACCATTTTGTAACAAGCGCAAGTTTATTATTGTTGATATTAAAATATAGAATAGATATGGTGATTTTATGATAACTACTTCTACTACCTTAAAGTATATATACACTTGAATCAACTTTAAATTCATTACCCTCCCTCCAATATATAAAAAAAATTATTTTGTCTTTAAACTGCGTAATGATCTTCGGGCCAATAAATCTAAAATTGTGCCATATGATATACTGTGTAATTACGGTACACGTCGTCAATAAACTTTTAAAGTTAAGATCCTTTCCATAAGTATGTACGATATGATTTTAGCGAATTTTCCGTCAGAATTTGTATCATACAGGCTTATCCTATTCCATCATGGCCAGAGGAAATAGGATAAGCCTACTGGAAAATGCCCGCATTAAAATAGAAAAACTGGTTATAATACAAGTGGTTAAAAGCTTGTAAAATGGAGATGTTTTGCTTGAATATACTTTTCATTATCATTGATTTTGAGGGATTTCAATATGTACTGAAGAATTTTTTCGATTTTACCATATATTATAAAACATTATAACAACAATAATAAGAATTATATAACAATATAATAATAACAATAAATAAAATAAAAACCAACAATTTGCAAACACCTTCATATCTCAAAACCACATTGTCATCAAAGATCTATCAGTTTTAAACATTTGTGTTTGATGTCGTAGAGTAGACTTTTTTTAGTATTTTTGATATTATAAATAATTTTATTGAATTCTTCTATAATTTCAATATTTTCTGATGTTATTATTGTATCTATTATACTGATTGGTATCATTATTATTATCATCAATTTCCTCATTTGTTCAAATGATATTCATGTTCATATATCACAAATTTTTTGTTTGCAACTATCAATCGATGGTCTAAATGAAGTGTGAAATGCTGTTAGGTAAAAATTTTTTTAATTATATATTTTGATTTAGTACTGTAAAATAAATATTATTCTTGTTACTTGTTATGATGAATAAAATATCTAATTAAAAATAAGTTAGCTCTATTGGTTAGATAATCCAAGTTAGATTATATATATATATATGTGTGTATTTAAATTTTAAATGCTCGCTCCTCAAAGCCATTTTAACTTGCCAACTTCCGTCATTTCCATCATTGAATCAATTACTCCTTACAGGAGAGATGCTCAAGCGAGAGAAAAAACAAGGATGGGTTGTGGCCTTTGCTCATTTGACTTTGCACCTATCGCCAGTTTTAAAACAGATATATTCTAATTCAAACAATTGCTCTTTTTGATTTGTTCCGTTCAATTGATTTTGGGAAGGCATGGACTAACAATGACAGAATTTGGAAACGATGCCTTAAACTGGTGAAGACTTACATTTAATATTGATAAGGCGAATATTTATTTTGATCTACTACAATATCTTCTTCACTTGTAAAACCCAAGGTAAACCTTCTCTTTTTTTTTTCAAAGGTGATTACACGACCTAATGATGATACAAAGGGGCGAAGGTTTGGCCTTGGCATCATGACAGATGCTGTGAGTGTTTCTATCCTAACGGGATGGTATAAATGGTTACGGTTTTGATTAAGATGGGGATTACCAATCATTAGACATTCAACCTGGTGGGTGACAGATGAGTTGAGCTGGACTCGGGAAGAAAAACCTTATTTGTTGCTTCGTGTGGTGTGGATAGAAATCAAACCATTAAATGTAGCACAAAGGATTAAGAGAAAATAGAAACTGGCATAAGAAAACCGCACAGTGAAAGAAATAATAAGAGGTTAGTCAAGTTGATGTTTATCTTAATTAAGTCTAACTGTATCCTGGAACATTGCAGCTCTTCCGACTTCATCTGTCACCTCATTTGCTCAATACAGAGAATATCCGCATTATTATCTTGAGCATTTTCCAACACTACTTGAATTTAATGGTAGTTGGCACAATCTTCGTTTTAAGACATATATTAAAAAGCAGAAGGCTTATCATGAAACTGTTACAAAAATAACGGAAGAACAGTTGTAGCATATGAAGATGGATTTTTTCATCGTTTGCAACCGAAAAAAAGCATGCCGAGCTAGGAGATACGATGAATTCAGAACTTCCATTATCTGTTCTCGCTGTAATGGATAAGTGGAGGATGTTGGCCGGGTTTGGCATCTTGTGACATGTAAAACCAGTAATATTGCATTATGTAATAGGTAAATTATTAATTAGCGTTAAAATATTTAAAATAAAAACACAACGTTTAATACTAACTAATATTTATACTTGTGGAATAGGCTTGGTAGTGGAGGAATATAACCGTTTGAAATGTAAACAGTTAATGATAATCATTTAAATAAGACAAAAAAAAACTTTATAACGATGCTAATTAGATATGTGTGTTCTAGGAATTATTCATTATTTAATTGTAAAAAAAAAAAAAAAAAAGAAAAAAAGAAAGTATTTTGCCATTAAACAATTATAAAAAATTTGAAAAAAAAAAATATTCGTTTATTATCAAAATCAAGTCTATTTTATATGTAAATAATATGTTAAAATTAAGTTAAATATTACTGCTATTATTATTAAATATATATTTGTTTTAATTAATAAAATATATATTATTATTATTATCATTATCATCATCACCATCACCATCAATCTAAAGATGTTATCTTTTTGACACGTATGCATACCAAGCACCTAATAATAATCAAGAATTCAAAAAAAAAAAAAAAAAGGTTTAATAAAAAAAAAAAAAAAAAGAATTGATATATAAATCTTTTAAAAGAAAAGGACAAACCTCCAAGCAACGTTAAAAATATTCCAAGTCCATTCGTTGGTGTTATAGTTAAATTAAATATTATCACTGCCAAAATAATTGATAGAACTTGTTTCACATTGCCAGCAACTGTCATTGTTAAAGCTGACGTTTTTTTGTTGGCTGTGAAGCTTACCACATTCAAGAAAAATGCTATAATGCCGTTTGTAGCTAATGCAATCACTAATGATGTTGTCATTTCAGTTTTACTAAAAGCTCTAACTCTATGTAATTCTCCAGTGACATAAGCATAAATTACGGTTTGAACAAATGCCAATGGTGACATACGTAACAATAAATCCAATGGATGAAGCTTAAGACGGCCAACTTGAACTCGATTTGTTACAACAGTCTTTAATGCTGCTAGTATTGTGCCTAAAATTGTCAAAAAAAATCCTGTTTAAAAAAAAAAAGATATATTAGATTATATGTCTGTCAATTATTTTTATTTTTAATAATAAATAATATTCTTACCCATTTTTGTAAAGTAATAATCACCAACTGTTGCAAATACCACACCTAAAACAACCTAAGATTATATTATAATAAAAATTTATAAAATCAACCTAAAATTCTTCTAATCAACATATCACTCCACCTTTTAATACTAACCGGTAATAAAGAGATATAAGTCATTGTTGGGAAATTCTTTTTTAAGAAAAGGATCGAGAGTATTATAGTAAATAGTGGAGTCATCGCTCGTACCACTTGATGGAACTTTCGGACATTAAAAAATCATTTAGATCAGATATTGATCTGTAATGCACAAATTAATTATTCATATATAATTCATTAAAAATGATAACTTACTGGTACCGTAACTAAATGTCTAGAGAAATAGAAAATTTATCATAAAAAGATAAAAGTTAATTTGTATATATGTACATGTGTAAATATATATAAATAAATAAAATATATATGTGTGTGTGTGAGTTAAATTTTGACTGCTCATGCCATCAAAAAAATTTTTTTTTTGCTGTTATTTAGATCGATAAAAAGCATAATCGGTAACATTAAAAAAAATATATATATTTCTTTTTTTACTTACAATGATACATTGCTGATGGCAATGTTTATGGTATATAAAACTGAAAACAACAACATTACCATACTCTCCCGTTCATTCAAACGTGTAGGTTGAAATATACCCAACCAGTAAAACGTATAAGATCCAATCGCTCCACATAAAGCATGTACTCCGGTCAATGTCCATGGAAAAGGAAAATCAAATAATTGCATAACAGCTTTATTATACAAGGTTAAAGCCAGATTAAGAAAAAAATAAAGAGTAAGCCATACAACAGATGTGTCTAATATATGAAAGTCTGCCATGTGGATCGGAATTGCACGACTACTCCCAGTCATTTGATATATACAGGTATATATATATATTATTATTATTACTATTTTTCTTTTATATAAAAATATAATAAATGTGATGATACATATAAATAAACCAATAAATTTGTTTTTTTAGTGATATTAAATGGGTTTTAACAAGCTAATTAGTTAACTTGTTATTGAAGAATTTTAAAAAAATTTTTTTTTTAGATATTGGATTGCTTCTCTGCCGGGCGACTTTGTCGCCAAATGTCCTAAATATTAAAATTTAACGTTACACTGCCACAATTCATTTGTTAGTGGTAGAATAAAAAATAAAAATAGCACAATTTTGTGAAACCCAAATAAAAAAACCACATGAAAAACTTAAACACACAATAATAATAAATAAAATGGTTATTAAATGTTTTAAATGTTTAAATGTTTTTTTGCTTGTATGAACAAAACTTTTTTTCCCTTCTTTCCCACGATTTCGTTAAATAAATAAATAAATAAATATATATATATATATATATTAAATATTCTTTGTGTTAATAATAATAACATTATCGATTTTTATCTTTTGAATAACTGTTTGTTCTTATAAGCTCTTGGGATATTGTAATAGGATTCAATCAATCCGCCAAATGAATAAGGTACCAGAATCCCATTCTAAAGATGGATCCTCAATTAATTGCAACTAATTTCGGCTCCCATCTTTATCATTTTCTGATAATCTGATTCGTGTTAAGGAAGTGTAACTCTAGTCTTCAATTCTAGAATAACTGGCCAATTTGTTGCAAGTCCAAATCTCCAATTTGAGTCCTATAATAAAAATTTGAGATCATTATGTAATTATTATTTTATTTTCATGAATCAAATGACAAAAGTTATAAATCTTAAAGGTAAAAAAAAATCTTTTGTGATAAAGTTAATTTTTTCATTAAATACACAATTAGACTCCCATATTAATATTATATAAACAAACGTGACTATATATATAAGGTTCCTCTTGTTATAAAATTTTGAAAAAATTGGCGATTAAAAAATTTTTTTAAATAAATAAATAGGAATTTTATCAATTACCAACCAATGAAGAAACAATTACAATCAAAGCAAATTGGCACTGATCAAATAATTGAAATCGAATCTTAATGGTGATTTAGAAATTTTGAATATATTAATGATAATGAATTGAGTTTGACAAAAGAACGTTTAGATGATGATGAAATAGTTTAAATGGTCTTAGATGAGTAAATGATGAATAAACTGATATAATTTTTTGAAAGCAATGGATATATCAATTAAATGCTTTAAGCATAAAAATGGTTTAGAGTTTGACGAAAGTGATTATAGAAATTTAAAAAAATTTTTGAAGGATTTTTTTAGAATAATAAATTCCCAACAATTTCTTAACCAATGTTTAAAATATCATTGCACACTCATGCTTTTAGGTAAACTTCTAAATTACGGTGACAAAGACATATTTATATTTTGAAACATCTTGGTTTGATTACAATTGGTTTAAGTTTTCTTGTACCAGTTGCATTGGTTAACCTCTCTTTAAATTAATTTTGAATAAGCAGTCCTTTGTTTTTCCTGGAATAAAAGAGCTTGATTTGGAAATATACAATAAAATAAGGCCAGTTTCATCTGTATTAAAAATCCACATTTACTCAAGATTTACTCTTAACAAAGGTAAATTTCATAAAGGTGCACTATCTGCTTTTCATGGATTCTTGCAACTTTTAGAATTATTTCATCCACATGAATCTTTCGCCAAGATCTTGAGCACTAATCCAGAAATTCATAGGTCTGAGAATTTTACCATCTATGACGAAAAATATTGTTATAGTTGATAGTTGATAGTTTTTTTTCATTGCTGTAAGTTTTTGTTTTCTTTTTGGAAGTCTAGTTAATAAATTATAATTAATATTCAATTATTATATGAGCTAAATTATTAAAGCGTGTTTACAATAAGAAATCAAGCTTTGGAAATGATTTAAAGATTTTTTTTTTTTTAATTTTTTGTCAGGCCATGGAAAATAGTTATTATAAAATTTAGAGAAGATAATTAATTAAAAATATTATTTGAGAGAATAAAATTCAAGAAGAAATATTTTTAAAAACTGATTTGAATAAATTTTCAATAAAACGTCATGTAAAGAATATTATTCTTTTACAACAAATGTTAATATTAATAATAAATTTTTATATATGGAAAAGTTCACATCCCCAAGAGTTCTTTGAGATTTGTTTCGTAACGTAAAATAGTAGTACCATTTTTTTATACAAGTTAATACTTTTGGTTTTGTGATTGAAGTTCGAGTCGAAACTCTGGAAATATTCTCAAAAGAGTTATTTCCCATGGTTATTTTTCCAAAATACATGAAAACAAATCGCCTATACATACAGTATATACATGTCGGTTAATTAGTATTCTCTTTTTATGAAAATCTCTTCAGGTAAAAATCTAAAAATTCTTTTTCCATCAAAATTTCCTGCTCGTCATCCATAGAAATATTTCAGTAATATTTTTCTTTTCGTCAAAGTTTTCCTTTGAATTTTCCTTTGTGCAAGCAGAAATTTTCTGGCATCTATCTATATAATCACGCGTTCATGACTTTCATAAACAATAAATGAATAATAAACAATATATGATAATATGATAATTTTAAATGTTCAATTGTTTTTCGTCGCCTAGTAACAGTACTATCTTAGAAGAATATAACTTTGCCGCTGAATTTACTCTACATTTATTAAAAATAAAATCAATGATAAATTGATAAATAATAATATTAACCATTTCACCAAAAAGTTATTTGTATTTTTATTATACCTTCTAAACAAAAGTTTTCAGATACCTATTTACATTAATTACAGTCAAATCTCGTTTCAATGAATCTATCATCTAAAATTCGTTATACCAAATTACTAATTACATTTCAATGAATTTATATTAATATTTTAAAAAATTCATTGTGATGCAAATTTATTATAAGGAACCAACTACCCTTCAAAATATTTGACCTAACTTGATCTGGAGATTTTAAAGTTGACAAAAGTATACTAGTAATAAAAAAATTTTTTGTTTTCATATGACCGATTGAATTTTCACATAGATGTTATTATAAATAATCGTATAACAAACAACTATGCTCCTATTATAATTACACAACCTCAGTCAATATTTTTAAGTGTTGGTATAATAATAATATGCAATAATAAAATTTGGAATTTTCAAAAAGCTAATGCTCGACCAATTCTTGAGAAAAAACTAGTTGATAAAGTTTGAAACTTGAATCATGAATAATAAAACTTATTATTATCAATTAAATTTTTGTTTTAGTATTTTGAAGCTGACCTATTGTTTACTATAAGCAATTAATACATAGATGATCTGCATCATTTAAACTTTATTAGCAAACAATAATGGGTTCCTCAACCTAAATTCTGAATCTAGATGTGAGATTTCAAATAAAATTCATGATTGGATGTTTAGATTGGTTTTCATAATTTTCATTGATGTATTATATATATAGAACAGCCTCTCCTTAAAACAGTGGCACAAAGAATTTTGCTCCAATTTGATCAGCAAGAAGACAGCCTATTTATCAATCAATTGAGATTGCTGATGAAGAACAACAATTATGCCTTTGTCCTAAAGTTCATCAAATTATTGAGCAAAATTCTGTTGTGTCTAGGTCTGAGTGGATATCTCAACACTAGGATTTAGATGCTATACTTGAGAAGGTAAACAAAACACCAAAAGCACTTGTGCCACCTGTCCTAACACACAAAACATTGGGTAATTGCTGCTATATAGAAATTCTATCAAATTTATGAAGGTTAGTAGTAATATCAGTGAATAATTCATTGTTATTATATGGGACATGCTGCAACAAAACCAAAGTGAACATTTGTATTGCTGAGAATTTCAGGGATCAAAATTTAGTAATGTGATTATTAAAATCCCCCCATTTGTTATATTTTTTTTTTTCTTAATATTAAATGATATATAGAATTACCTCTACATAAAAATAGTTAATATGAAGTTAATTTACATCAGATCTACTATGGAACCCAAGAATTATAGCACCATTAGAAGTATTCTGAAGAAAGAACAAGGGGTGAAAATAGGGATGTTAATCAATTATACAAAAATTGATTTTTCCACAATCAATTATAAAATCGATTATGTGTCCCACAATTGATTAAAAGTTATTGACAAAATTTTATAATTGATTATAAATTGATTATTGATTTAATTGAAAAAATCGAAAAAAAATCAAGTGTTAAATAAATTAACAGTAGTAATGATAATAACAATAATAATAGCAATAGTAATAATGATAATAACAATAATAATAGCAATAGTAATAATGATAATAGTATAGTAATATTTGAAACAATTTTAATTTTAGAAGTCTGGTTTTAAAAATTAAATGCCATAGCCTAACAAACAAATTCATACATAATTTAATATACATACTTCATTCTAAACATTATAAGCATAATAATAGCAGCACTAATAACAACAACAACAATAGTAGTAGTAATAAATAATAATAATAATAATAGTAGTAGTAGTAGTAGTAGTAGTAGTAGTAGTATATTAATATTTGAAACAATTTTAATTTAGAAGTCTCAACTAGAGAAATAGCCAAATTAGACAGAGATGAATTTGAATCATATAAAAACATACCCCAAGTGCTTCCTATTAAAGAAAATGAACCATTAAATATTTGGCATTCCTTCTTCATCAGTTCCTTCAGAAGAACTTTTCTCTGATGCAGGACAACAAATTACTTTGTTATGAAATAGACTTAGCTCACAGTCTGTTGACCATATTCTTTTTTTGAAACAGATCAAAAAATTTGTTGATAATTTTTTACCCATCAAAGAATAATAAAAGATAAAATTTTAAAATTTATGTTGTAAATAAAACGGAATTTACTGAAGTGACATCCAATTGTGTTTTGGACATGTGACCTAGATTCTTTCATTTTATTAATACTGTAATATGTAAAAGTTGTTAACTCATA